TTGGGCAGGATTATGAGGTGTCTGAGGAAGCCTTCTCCAAGAGCCAAGAGGATCGCAAACACCTTAATTTCTCTGTTGAAATTCCGGTCAACTCTGTCTCCACGTATCCTCATTCTGAAGACCAATGCGCAGCCAAATCAAAACAGGTCAAGCAGGTGCAGGGCATACCAACTCCCCATGCAAGCCCGAAGATATTAGCGATCAAAAACCCGACGAAGACGATGCAGACCACGATATCTTTCGATGGCAAGGTTACCACAGAGCAACCTGTACAACTCTCGAAACAACGCGGGCCCTCTAAACAAAACGGGCGCAAGAGGAAGGCCCCAGGTGGATATAAGGAGGCGCAACTTAAAAGTTTCAAGGCAACTAAAAATATCATCGGCCAAGAGAAGGCCGGCGGATCTGCGTCAGATCCTCAGACGAAGCGGAACGTAACTGGCAGAGGGAAAAATCGCCACCCTTTGCCCTCTCAACGTCCCACGACTTCACCGCATAAAGAGATCTTGACTGACACTAAGGATCTGGACGAGAAGGTCCGCCAACGGGGAGCTGGTTATCCTTCAACTCGAACCACAAAAATGAATGGTACTATTTCTCCACGATCGTACCCTAACAATACCCGACATCTGATCGATTAAGAGCAGAATCAGCGCGACAGTTCTTAGAGGGAACAGGAAACCTGCAGATAGCCTATGTTATTATCTGTATTCTTTAGCATTCATGGAGTATGGGGTTGGCTGATACCAGATACTAGAAATCAAGCTGCGGTCGCTGGGACCAACAACACAGGCAGCGAATGATGTATACTACTATCCAAGGGCAGATTTGCATTATTTGGGACCAGGGTTTTGTTAAAACCGAGGCCGCGGGTGCCCGGTTCGTCTTGGTTGAATAGAGGCGTTATAGGGAAGAGCCTTGCAGCTGGACAGCCAAGGTCAATTACATAGAGGCGGCAAGAGATGCGCCAGATTCGAATATTAATCTGATTATCGAAGTGTAACAAATGAGCAATGAATGAGTAACGTGAATTGCATGGTAAAATCATCAGAGCTAATTCTCAAGAGGGGTTTCCCTGGGTATCATGTCATATCCTTCAGCGCCGTCGTCCGCTTCCACCTGTCATGCCAAGAAATCGCGCTACGACTGAGCTCGCTTTAATCAACATGCACTTCGATTGTGTCTTGGGCCTCGATCTCGGCATCCTGCATCTCCACGTGCTCCTCGAGCCGCTCACCATCCCACCAAAGAGATACCTGCTTATCTGAACCAACATTACGCTGTTGGCGGAAGTAGGAGATGAGCGTTTCCACAGTTGTCTCGGGGAGAATCTTGCAAGCTAGCGGTTCAACATCCCGTCCTTTGAGCATGATCACGAACCTAATTCTCTCGGCCGGCTTCTCCTCTTCCTCACCAGAAATTTCACCAGCGTCACGCTTCCGCTGGAGTTCCTGCTCCTGCTCCATCTTCTCGAAGAGTTCCGGGTTCCAGGCTTGCACGTTTATCGAAGACATGTTCTCTCTGAAGCCCGCGGACCCTTGACCGTCGCTCACAGCACGCCCATTGCCGATTGGACGAATGCCCAGGCCAACCAGGGTGGAAGTGTTGTATACTTTCTTGCTGTTCCAGGTGAGAGTCACATCGTCTGCTTGTATGGCAACACCCTTCCTTATTTGGTGATTGACCCACGCATCTCGAACTATGCGAAGAGGTTTGTTAAATGAAAACCTCACTTGCAGGGGCACAGTATGAGGAATCGTGCTGGTAATAAAAATGTTGAAGGCGTCCTTGGACTGCTCCTCAGACTTGTTAGCCTGAAGGGCCTGTTGGCGGGCGCGTTTCTCTTCGGCTTTGCGAATGTACTCTGCAAACTCATCCTCCTCCACTGGTGGTGGGCTTGGTTCCTTAGAAGGCTTAGAGGTCCGCTCCGCAAGTTCGATACTGCTACTTCCCGGCTTCGATGATAGGTCGGTCTTGGGCTGGGGAGGTCCTGAATCGGATTCCGAATCCGAGTCAATCGTTACGGGATCTGTGTTTGGTTTGGCATGTGGTTTGAAACCTTCTGTCTTCAGGTTTCGACTTGGAGTAGGGGGATTATGAATCGGTCCCAATCTTCGAGTTGGCGATGCGTCTGGGAAAGGGTCTTCGTCCATGTCGAGTTGCGAACTAAGTATAGGCTTCTGGGCCGAGCTTGAGTCAAGCCTTGATCTTTTTGAGGGAGGAGGAGTGACAAGTTCACTAAACGAATCAGAACACGATGTTAGGCGATCTGGTTAGCAAGCATACCTGGTGCGATCAACTCCGTCGTGTGTCAGCGGCTGATCGGTAACAGGAGTCCCCTCTACCCGTGCAGGCAAGGAATGTAGACCGTCGCTGACCTCGGGGCCAGAGTCCTTGTTGGTGGGCCCATCGCTATCTGGGGAGTCTTCTCGCGGCCGCTTCTCCCCAATGGCCTCAAGTCGTTTGCGCTCAGCTTCCTGCTCAGCTTCTTTATGTCTCTTCCAACGCCTTTGCTGTTCAGCTGCCATGATAGGCGCCATCTCCTTTGAACGGCGGAACAGAGAGAGGCCATCGTCGTCACTGTCCTTAGAATCCTCGGATTGTGTCGGTTTTGGTTTTGGCGCTGCCCTGCGCAGCGCGGTGGGCTTAAAGGGGAGTTTCTTCATATTGGCCAAGAGCCTTCGATTAGCTTGCACTAAGTTGTGATGATAGCAAAGCGTCGATTGTTCGCTCAGTTTTGTAGAGTAATAAAGCGACAGGCGCGCGCACAAAGCGATACAGAACAATCGGTTGGGTCTAAAAGTAATCAAGAACAATGAAGCTGGAGGTTGGACGGGTCCTTCTTTGAAAGGCTCGAATCGCACTTCACACTTTACGCGCCTGGAGGTGGTGGGTTGGAGGTTGCCTGGGCAAGAAATAGAGACCTGGCCCGCTAAAAATACCCCCGCTACGTGCCGCTGTAACGGGACGTTAGGCGGCTTCACAGCAGGTGTGATGCCCCACAGTGCGAAAAGACTCCAGCCTTAACAGCCACGACAAGGCATCAATCTTTCAGGCTAGACCCAGACAACTCCACAAGCTCTATCCAAGATCTATTATCATAAACCACCAACGACACCCTGAACCTCTCAAACCGCCAACCTCCAAACACCACCCCAAGTCTTCACAATGGAGAACGGCGCTAATTCTCAGGGTGAGGGAAAAGACCCTTCAAGCTTCCTCAGTGACATCATCGGCAACCCTGTTACTGTTAAGCTCAACTCTGGCGTTGTCTACAAGGGTGAGTCTTTACCTCTTCACCCATCGATTTGACGATGCAGCTGAGCGCCTCATGTGCGACGATACAGCAGATAGGATGGAGCTAATACTCATAGGCGAACTTCAATCTGTGGATGGCTACATGAACATTGCCCTGGAAAAGACAGCCGAGTATGTCAACGGCCAGAAGCGTAGGGAATACGGTGACGCCTTTGTGAGAGGAAACAATGGTGAGTGTCGCTTTGTTATGGGCAGAAATCTTGCTAATCGACGCTGAAAGTCATGTATATTTCGGCAGACTCATGATGGGTCCTGAACAATGAAAGACGGCTCGGTCTCTACATGTAGATTTATGATGAAACTAATCTCTACATCCTCTTCACTCTGGGCCATCCAAACGTGACGTCCAGACAAAGAAAGTGCACCCATGAAGCTCAACCTCACCGTTCTCATTGAATGTGGCATCGCCCTCCTTGATGATCTTGTCAAACTTCTCTCTAAACAGTCGACGCTCCTCCCCTTGCCGAAGCTTGTTCCAGCTAAGTGTATCGAATCTATTCCACAAAGCATCAGGGGTCAACCAAATCGACCATGCGATTTTTTCGGTCTCGATGGGCGTGGAAAAGAATGGCTTCTCTGCCTCGGCTTGACGTTCGAAGACTTTCGTCCACAGCAAGTGTCGGAACCGAGGCTCGTTGTCCGCCTTTTCGTTGAAGTTGAGCTCGCTGAGCTCCTGCTCCCACTTTGTAGAGGCTGGCCAGCTCTCGGGGCGATTATCTTGGGTCTGTTATCAGTCACTCCGGAAGCGGCGAAAGGCAACTGAGATGTAATTACATTCTTCGGCATTCCAGATCAACCCCAGTTTGGCCCCAGGTTTGAGCACCCGATGTATCTCCTTAAGGGACTCCTCTCTGGCAAACCTTGGACCTGGTTAGGGCCTCTTGTTAGTCCTTTGAGGAGCGACTCACCAGTGAAATGCCTTCAAATGTCAGTCTGATTTCTAGCTGACTAGTGCTCTCTCCAGACAAGGCATCTAGCTTACCTGAGCCACAATGCAGCCGTCTGCCCATCCGTCTCCCACGTCCTTCATTTCAGCTGCCGTACCTGCCCGAACGTCCACTCTGGAGAGTTTCTTGGCAACAAGAGTGTTTCTCATCGAGTCCAGCGGCTCTACGGCAATAATTTTGTACCCTTCCGGCCTGGCAGACAGAAGCTCAGTGAACTTGCCAGTGCCAGCTGCCAGGTCTAGGATATGGTGTCCAGATTGACCCTCGAGACCGAGACGCCCCAGAAGACTGGCGACAGCAGCAGGGGGGTAAGAGGGCCGGTGTGCGTCATAAGACTGAGCGTCATCAAAGCCTTTCGTTGCAATATCATGAATAGTCTGAGATGCCATTTTTGGTGTTACTCTTGAACAGCTCGAAGTGTCTGGACAATGTGTCGTTGGTATTCAAGTATCTTCAATGAGACAAGAAGCTAATTCTAAGGGAGTAAAGGAATCAATAGGTGCCGGAGATATTTTGGAAGCCTTTTATACAATTACCCAATGATCTTCCCCGCGCTTTTAGATCTTGGGGCACTGGTTCTCCAGAGTTCAATGATGTGATGGCACTAGATCTGGCTACCGATGTCGTTCCAAGACCCTAGATCCCGCGGGAACGAGCCGACGGATTTACGGCGGAGCCCCGACAGATTTAATGCAACTGGATAGCACCTCAATGACAATCAAAGCAATTGGGCACTTACAAGAATTCGTGATGATTTGCTAACTGCTTGACGATTCCGATATTAATCGCCTTTTCTCTGATCTGAGGACCCTGGGGTGCCCGCTTGGCATTGCCATGCTTCCCGTCGATGGCTTTCTCACGTGTGGCAAGGCATTCAGCTGCTCTATACTGAAGATGGTGTCTGATACCGAGTGTCCTTTCCCCTTCTCGAAAGCTTCTGTCTGGCTTACGGTAGATCCCGGTGGTGTTTGTTCTGGCGTAATGAAGTCATCGTTGCAACTGCTAGGTGATCTAGAACCGGTGCGGTTGCAGTTTATCTGTGAATTGCGTCGGACAATCGAGTCAATTTGAGTTTTCGTCATTGAACTAGCTGAGCTGACATGTTCTTGTTGGCACTGGATGACCTCTATTGAAGCAATGCCATCTTGCTGAGATGTCTTTGTCTTTGTAGATGTTGGGTAACTTGGCGAAGTTTCGGAGTCGAGTGTGTCTGATAGACATTCTGATGAGCCCATGTCTATCATTTTCCCCTTTCCTTTGGATATTCTAATGCGGCGACCAACTTGAGTTGCTACTGGTGTGAGCTGGCATGGCCCAGGCGAATTGGGCCTTGAGATCCAGATACCCTCCACCTCGACGCCGCTCAGGATAGCACGAACACCGAAAGGAATCTCGGGAGGTCGCATGTTTTCGATACCGCAACGCGACATGAGGGAGATTCGTGCGCGCTTCTCCTCGTCGATAATCTCAAGACGGCGTATGGCTCGGTTAGACCACCATAGTTTCACAAGTCCCATGGCGAAAACAAGAACGATGCAGCACCCAAGAACCTACGACTTACAGTTAGTCTTTGAAACGATACTTTGCAGGTGTCCCTGAAGAAGACTATGAAGTCAAATTATCCATGGATAGGTAGATGTACGTACGAAAGTCATCTCTTGCCAGAGATCCCAGTCGACAAAGAAGGCAGTCATGATGAGACTTGATACTATGAAGACTAACAGAGCTCCAAGGACAGAGAGTGCAGAATATGCATCAACTTTACAAAAACATTCGGGCGATTTGGATGTTTGAAAGGCTCCAAAATTGTAACATGGCAATCCAGGTTCCAAAAATGAGAGTGAATGGGGTGATGCGTGGTAACGGATTCGGGCGAGGAAGCAACAAGAAAGACAAGCTCTAAACGAGCCTCGTGAGTGCCATGGCCAGACTAGCACGTGCCATTGTTGATCGAGACTGTTTGGAGTGCAAGTGCGATGAATCGTTTGGAAGTTACCAAGATTCACTGACAACCGTAGGCAGGTGCGGATACGCAGTGGCCAGTGTCACTCGGAGAATGAACCAGCAGCTCCCGTCTGTGCCGTTCGGTAAACACCTTAACTGGTACTAGGTAACTAAACGAAATGGAACAGAATATGCGTGTTGAAAAGGACTTTTCCTGAGGTCTAGAGAACATGCCCTACTCAAGGAAGACACCAATCAATACCAGGTGGGCTAGCGAGCCTGCATGAGGCGTCGAAGCCTTTCTTGAATACACATGGTCAGGCCGAGTTGGACAGATTACCTAGATAGGAGAGAATAAATGTGTAACCGATTGCAAGATATCAAGGCCGTTTGTGCATGTTGTTTGGTCTCCATGGGATGGTGAGCCAAGGATATAGGATCAGGTGTTCAATCAGAAGGAAATCCGCAATAGACAAACTACTAAAACACTCCATTAACCGTCGTCTGTATGCTGGTAAGCGTCACCCTAGTCTGGTCTGGTCTTCAGAACATTGAAACATGTTTCGGGTAGCAACAGATTCCAGCCAAATTGACATAAGTTACCGTGTTACACGGGAAAACATGAGGGGAGAGGCATGCCTTCTGAAGCAGCATAAGGTAAGGTAGGTACTTTGAGGTTAGTTTATCATCATGTTCAAACTTGATCCCATAAATGACTTCGTGAGTGCTCAGTCGAGTCTTTAGGAGGCACTTCGTGATAAATAAATAAGTACCTAGGTAAACCCCAGGAAGCAAGAAAGTCTAGGACTTGGAAGAGAATTCCAAAAACAAACCCACCAAAGAGTCATACAAGTCTAGGCTAACTTGGCTAAATATTTCTGTCTCTTAGGAATAAGCGCCTAAACTTTCTGGCCTCTCCTGAGGTACCTAGGTAGGTATGCATGTTGGGTGTTGACTGCAATGACATAAGCAAGCTATATGGTGTTGTCTCGCCTGAGTCATGGGAACAATTTTTACATTAGAATCTAACCCGTCTCTTCGAAAAGAATGCCATAACAGTAAAGCTGAGAAAAAGTCTAAAGATGTTAGTCTGCCCAATTACAATTGAACCATGTCACTATCGGCGTCGGGTGCAATGAAAGCCCGGGACTTGAAATCGGCCGGGTGTTAGTGGGTCACTGGCAACACCGATTGAAGGCCGGATCGGCGTTTCGGGTCCTCTCAAGGGAGAAGGCATGTTCTGAGGATCGATCCACCTTCGGATATCCCGGACATTGGCTCTGGACCACTTTACCACTGTTGCAATCAGAGAGTATCACCACCAAAAAGTGTTGTCTGCACGTATGGGGAGACGGCCAATTAAAGAGATAGTCAAAATCAGTCCTGACATCAAGACATGACGTTAGCGACCACCAACTTGGAGTCAATGAGCCCTTGAACAGAGTCTTGGCGGGATTGGACCTGAATCAGGGAACCTTGACCAAGTCGTCATAGGGACCAGACCATCAAACCTCCAACATCTAACTTTCACCATCCCAAACAGGATCAGGCACGTTATCTTGGAACAGAAACGGAACGGGGTGCCGCAACGTTGCCAAATTCGGGACAGATGCCGCGCCGGGTTAACTGCAGACATGATTGTCATCTCTTCTGGGAGTCTGCCTTGGTTGGTGAGGTGTCGATCAGGATACCGTCCGTCTGCTGCAGGCCTTGATTCAGGTGATCTACTTACTGTATCGTGCCGCCAGCATCGCTATCTGAACACAGTGTGTCGTATTGGAGATTATCAGCGGCCCGGATCTTGCTTGTTGCGATTCCTGGTGTGTGAGCTGTTGTTGTGCCATGCCAATAGGATCGTTGTTGGACGATGGAGCCGATGACGGTAAGCGTTTAACCCTTCCAGTCTTGGCAATTGTTGGTGTCAATCAAGTCCCTGAACTCCGGGGGGAGGGCCAACCTGGGACCTGGCCCTAGTGCTGTGCTGATCTGCTGGCGATGCTCGGCTGACATGCAGTTTGTAAGATGGCTGTGCTGTGTACCTACAATACGCTGCAATGCCCAGCCAAGCAGAGCAGCATCCGGTGCGATTCTCAAATGGCAAGCAATGCTTATTAGCCCTTTAGTGCAAATAGTTGATGCTTGTTTTTTTTGCCAGTCGGCAGAAAATTATGTTTCGAAAATGATGAGTGATGGATAGATAGTAAAGCCCAAACAAATTGTAAAGAAGATGCCGAGGCCCTTCTCAACCATCTCAGACTCAACATCGCCCTTATACATTGTGGACTCTCACTTCGGTCCCTAACTAATCTCATGTTTCACACCCTCTTCGAAAGCGAGGATTTGACCCGACTCGGTGGTGCCACGCGCACACGTATTCGTTTATCCACACATACATATGTACATACATACAATCACAATTCTCACTCTACTAATCGCCAAGTCTCACACACACCTCACCCACTTACAGAGTTCTTAGCATCGATCCACAGGCTGTTTCTATGTTTCAATTTTTCCTATTCGTCCTCTAACTGGGCAAAGCACGAGTCCCAATTCCCATTCCCCCTTCCCATTTCCAATACCTAGACTACCTACCTACCTACCTTGTATCCATTCCCATCTTGGGGTTCCGCCTTCCCCGTCGTCGTCCCCGGCTCTAAAAGTCAATTAACTTAAACATCGGCTGCCCCCAAAACCCGTCCTCCGTTTCGCCTTCCCTTCTTCCTTCCTTCCTTCCTCCTCCCTCTCTTCGATGTCATATTTCCCTTCCTTCCATCTCGTTTTTGTCCTGTGCCTGTAATACCTCGTGGTACATATCACACCTTTCCAGACTTCAATCGGCTGCTTGTCTCAACAACACCATCTTCTGATATACCAACAATCAAATATTCCATCAACAGCTTCCACCGCTTGTCTTTCGCAATGCCTATCCGCAACCCTTTTGCTCGTCGCCCTGGCAGTGTTATCATTCAAGATGAGAACCAACGTCCTGATTCTACCCCTGGCTTCGAGAAAGTCGATACTGTCGGCTCCAAGTCCACCCCCGTTTTAAGCATTCGAAGTCAAGGTCGCGACAATGGCGAATACAAGATGAGCGGTATGTCAACCGACCCTAGTCGCCTCTCGTCTCTCATGGCCTCCCCCTCAACCTCCGCAGTGGGGGGCAAGTAATGAAGAGGCGCATTTGGCATCTTGTCACAAGACCAGAGGAACTTGGGCTAATGTGTCTTTGCGCAACAGTTGTCAACGACAGTGGCGTTTATCTTCCTGTAAGTCGTTTTTAGCCCAACGTGCAAAAGGTCAAGATTTGAAGCTAACGGTTGCAAAGCCATCACCTACTGAGGAAAAGGGCCAGTGGCCTCGAAAGTATCTCTCGACCCGCAACTCGACAGATACTCGAAGCAGTTCCGGCGACATTGAACATTTCTCTATTTCCCGCGAGTCCTTTGATTCCTACCGCCGATCTTTCGTATGTATCTTCTATAATCTGCTATCCGTTAAATCAGATATCCTTCGCATTTGCTTAGCGCACGACTAACATGAGCAACAGGACATTTCTGCACGATCGCCAATGCCCAACAGCGATTTCCCAACACGCCAGAGCCTTGACTCAGCACGTCTTCCCCGACTACCTAGATCTGCGGTCGAGCGATCATTCGAGCAGCCACCAACCGCCGAGGAGCGCTTTGAAGACGTAGGACTGGACGACCATAAGCAGCAGCAGCAGCAGCCGCCGGTTCCCCAGGCACAGCCTCAGAAGCGGGGGTTTTTCTCGAAATTCTCCGACAAGGACAGCCCGAGCAACCCTACTGTATCCCGTTTCCTCATGCATGGTCGCAAAAGAGCCCAGAGCGGCCAAGGTTCGGAGCTCACTCCCATGGACAACGCATCCCCCAAGGTGACTGTCTCAACCGATGGCCAAGAAATGCAATGAGATGCACGACCAAAATTTTGTTCTTCTACATTGTATTAGAGATACCTGGAGTTTTCATTTATATTCTCGGCGTTTTCGGTTGACTAGGTCGGGATAATGCTAGAATTGCATTCGCTATGAGACCTGGGTACACCTTGATGGAGAATCAAGGATTGGATGAGTGCGTTGTGCAAAGAGCACTGTGGGCTGACCGTGGAGTTGTAATGCCCAGACGGACGAGCAATATTTGCTATGGGGTCATGCCCCTTGAAATGGACCGAATATGAGCTACGTAATGATAATGAGAAGAGATATATGTTTCAGTGTACTATGTACCTGCATAATGGCTTCGAGTAGTTGCTGGACATCAGGGTGAGACGTTACAATCATAAGCTATAAACTCTCGGCCTCGGTTACACAAGTATAAACTGAGTGGATGTCTGAGTTCAACGAGAAACCCATTTAGTGTTAGATTGTCAAAGTTGATGCAATATTGATTGGATAATTATGGTTGAGCTTATATTCAGCATAGCAGGATCTTGCCATAGGGCGTGGTAATATAGCCGATGACGGAGGCAGTCCAGTAAAAGAAACCGCAGATATTGTTCCAACAGCTGCATCCACTTGTTATTGCGTGCTTGTCATTGCTAGATTCCTTAGAGGCCCCGCTCTATCACTCGGAGGGCGCCAGGCATGAGTAGATATAGAAGCAGACGAGGCCGAATTAACTTCGCAATCCGTTCTCTGCGAGTCAACAGCATTGGGGACGTGCCAATTGGGCTAATAACACTCCAGTCTTTATTAGTATCAAGATTTGCCCCTCACCTAGACTACTACTATATCAATCAACTTTACAAATTTCTATCAAATTCTCAAAACAACTGAAAAGACAAAGACGGAGATCATGGCCTCTGACGAAGTTCCTACCAACCTCAAGGACGTCTCGGCGGTACCGGACGGTGCAGCCGGGGCCAGGACCGGACTTGATAGCTCCCTCGCCGGGCTGTCACTGGCATCCCGTGCAGTTCATGCCGACGAGGGCATCCAGTCACACAGAGCCGTTGCGCCGGCTATGCATGTCAGCACGACTTTCAGGTACAGCAATGACCCTGATGCACTGAAGGCCTGGGATAATACCGATGTAAGTGTGCATGCTTCCTTGTCTTGATTTGCTGCAGGTGTCTCCAGAAGAGACTACTACCAGATGGTCGGGAATCTTATGACTGGAGTCGACCCAAGGCCATCATGAAGCCCACTGACAGCTTTCTGACTTCTCCCATGACGAAATTTTGCTAAACTTGTGTAGCCCAATAACCCTCTGGACTCTCATGTCTACTCTCGGGCAACTGGCCCCAACACCACTCGTCTCGAGGCAATTCTCACATCCGTCATTGGCGCTCCGACAATTACTTACTCTTCTGGTCTGTCTGCTTTCCACGCCATGTTGGTCCATCTGAACCCTAAGCGCATTGCAATTGGAGATGGCTACCACGGCTGCCACGGAGTGATCAGCATTATCTCTCGTCTGACAGGTCTCAAGCAACTACCTTTGGACTGTGCTGTTGAGGACCTCGAGCCCGGCGATGTCATCCATGTCGAGACGCCCCTTAACCCTACTGGCGAGGCACGCGATCTTGCAGCATATGCAGAAAAGGCCAAGAAAGCCGGGGCTTACCTGACTGTTGATGCGACATTTGCACCACCTCCGCTGCAGGATCCTTTCCAGTATGACGTTGATGTTGTCATGCATAGCGGTACAAAATACTTTGGTGGTCACTCCGATATGCTCTGCGGTACGCTGTCTGTCAACCGCAAGCACAAGGACTGGGAACGTAGTCTCCTCAACGACCGCCTTCTTCTTGGTTCTGTTATGGGTAGCTTGGAGGGGTGGCTGGGTATCCGCTCCCTTCGAACTCTCGAGCTCCGCGTCCAGCGCCAGAGTGCTACAGCTACTGCACTTGTTGCCTGGTTGGCTGAGCAGCAGCGTGATCCTTCATCTGCGATCGGCGCCCTCGTTGAGCGTGTCCAGCACGCCAGTCTCCAGCCCGAAGCATCAATCGAGGGTAGTTGGTTACAGAAGCAGATGCCCAATGGCTATGGCCCTGTTTTCTCGGTGTATCTTCGCGATGGAGATGTCGCTAAGCGACTACCATCCAAGTTGGAGTTGTTCCACCATGCCACTAGCTTGGGTGGTGTTGAGAGTTTGATTGAGTGGCGTGCGATGACAGATCCTAAGGTTGATAAGAGGCTTTTACGGGTGAGCATCGGTGTTGAAGGTCCTGAAGATCTCAAGAACGATTTGCTCCAAGGCCTGGAGGCTTTGAGAAAAGAAGAGGAGAAGTGAGGTCAGTAAATGAAGGAGATAGAGAACTAGAACAGACAGTCATTTTTTGGATAGAGGGAAGGAAAAAACAGAAAGCTTTTGTTTATAGAGAAAATGAAAAATGCATAATGGAAATCAATATCCTCTACAATGGCTTGCATTGTTTGAATGGCTCGTCCATGAGACAGAGAATGTCGTGATATATCAGATATACACAGACCAGAAAGAAAAAGAAAGAGAGGGAATTTGTATGAAAAGATCACAACACTGGTCTAACACAATCAAACGAATGTGACTGTCCGATCTAAGAATAAATGCCATACAAAATAGGGGAAACATGTAAACCCAACGTAACCCATGTGTGTATGTAAGTCAGGCTGTTATAAAGAGAGAAATCTAGAAAGAAGAGCAGATAAGAGGAGAGGAAAACAAGAAATGAGAACGAGAGAAGCCGAGTTGCAATGAAGAGTACTATGCTCTTCTAGATGCCTTTTCGCCAGATGTTGTGGCTGAGCGCTTGGGATGCTTGCTTAGCATTGAAGTTGAAGTGGTGTCGAATCTTGGGTGTTGATGTGGCCAAGCTCATTCTTGAGGAGGTAACCAGAGGCCAAACCAATTGCTGAGTGGTTTGTACTTGACTTCCCGGCTATAGAGATATAAGTCAGTGGTGTTTACATGTTATTAGGGAGTTATAGACGTACCGTGAACGATCATTGTCGGCGAATGAGCCAACTCCTCGAAGATCTTGCTCGGCTGACCTGGGCTCCATGTGTCGATAGTCCACGGATCTGTTGTCAAGGCGGTAAGATGTAGAGCCTCGAGAAGAAGCTGGAGGGGCATTGGGATAGTGGCTATCATGCGGTCGGTGGGGGATAGAAGTCCTCAAAGGCGGTGCAAGAAAGTCATTGGCGACAGCATGTGTCTGATATGGAGGTGCTTCCTGAGTTCGAGAGGGAAATGTGGGAGAGTCACTAAAGGCCGGAGATGTCGTGGGAGTTGTGAGATCAGAAACAGTATCGACTAAGTTGGAGGGGTCGTGGCTGTACTGTTGGCCGAGCCATTGGTTAACCATGGTCTGGCGTCTGTCGTAGGCCTGGGGACTTGGACGCCTCCAGGCCTGGGACTGGTCTCTTGGTGATGTGTTGGCTGATGTTGTTCTCTGGTAGTTGGAATCCCAGCTGCCTCTGACGGCCTCGTCACTCCAGTTCCTGGAGCTGTCTGTGTTGTAGGTTTGGCCGTAGTTGCGCTGTTGGTGTTGGTGGTGGTGATGGTGGTGGTCTTGTCGACGACTCATGGTTGCTGAGAGTGAGGTCGTTGGTGATTGGTCAATTGCGTGTAAGTTGTTTGAGTGGAGAGTTTGTAATGGCGATGGTCAAATAGAACTGGGTGCCTATGGACTGAATTGTCTGTGAATGAAGTGAATATGCAGATTAACCTGAGCCTGAATGCATCTTTTTTAAACATGATGTATTGAAATATCCCTTGACATATGTCACTTCCTATTGTTTGGTTGCCTCTAATTCCTCAAGCATGCTTCTTCAACTAAGTTGCGGTCGTGGCTGAAGCTTCCCTATTCGCGGGGACGCCGGGAGGCCGCAGCTTTCGACCAATGAGAAACGCCCGCTCCTCGGAACCCCAGCGATAGTTGATCGTGGCCGTGCAGGGGGACTCTCCCCAAGGGCCTGGGACCCCCTGGAGTGGTCAGCAAGCTTACTGGATGCAGGCTAGAGTCAGAACGTTATGCAGGGAATTGGAAACAAAAGACGTCAGTCTTCGCAGGCCGCCGAAGTTGCTAGCCTTGTTCCCGTATCAAAATTAGATGGCTTTCCTAGGATGGGTAGAGGCTCATCCAACCGAACCCAATGACAGGGACGAATTGGCTATGGAAAGTGAACTCACCAACGTCACGCGATTTAGTCCCGATCTACAGTTGTCTTGTCAAGACTTTTGAGGGAGCCTGTCGATGCATCATGAGGTTTTTCGCAATGCAAGTAGAGTACCTGGATTGCTATGGGACAGGTTTGAATCTGAAAACATTTCAGAGACTGAACAGTTGACATGGAACACAGAGCATAGCTAGGTATATTAGTATCACAATTGTCTCAGATACAAATGCCCAGGAGTCATTCACACCTTCAGCCATCACAAAGTCTCTCACAGCTAGTATCATGACTCCCGTCTCGGAGGCCACCAAAATCAGGGCATCATGAGAACCCCAACACCAGCAAGACTTGACATCGTCACTGATACTCAGTACTCTCGGCAAGGGCGCCTCCCGATCGGCTACAGGTGAACCGGACAGCTAATTCAGCCATCCCGTGTACCAATGCAGCCACATGCTGCATCATTAAACCTCCGAAACAATCGCTTAGAGGGCCTGGGAGCTGTCTCAAGCGCGATAGGGCTGAGCAACGAACCAGAGTCGCGCTTGAATGCTCAAATTAGGATGAGAAACAAGTTTTAGGCGCTTGAGAACCTTCGCCAATCTTGGGAGCTGGTTGCTGGTTGCTGGGAGCGTAACTGATGTGCTTGGCTTGCTGCGCTTTCAGAAACGATCAACTGTGCCACTGGGCTGTGTAGGTGTCAGCCCTGTGCACGTCCCCCCGATGATGGTTCTCTGTGCCGCGTCAAGCGCAGGGGTTTGGCGCTAGGCTCGTCTTTCATTGGTCGAAACAGACGCTGCAGAAGCGCGAGCGGGAGCGTAAATGGCCAGCCCAGGGTACCTAGGTAGAGGGGTCCCGTCTTGCATGAGGCGCCATGACCATGATGCTCATCCCCTTTTCGCTGCCTCCCGGTCTCTTTGCATCTAACCTCTACAGCAACAAAAACACCACCACACAACCATCACCAACCTCCTCTCATCCTCCCTCCCTCCCTCTTGAGAAGAGGGAGCATGTGCAGGCTGCAGAGTCTCGTTTCTGGGACTTGCGGCCGCAGTTGACCATCTAGTCAATGCTCCAATGGCCAGATTCTCCCTTTTCCGCCTGCCCACCAAGCTACGGCGAAGGGTCAGGCGTAATCGTATGGCTACCATTATAGCCCTCTTCGTCCTCGTAGGCCTCCTGATCTTCCCCTTCTACTCAGCCTATTGCGTCTACAAACCTCCGAGATACCTCATCAATTGGCTGCGGAGGAAGTACCCCGACGTCCTGTTCGAGGAGCCCACCGACCAAAAGATCATCGCCCTATCTATCGACGATGCGCCGTCCGCCCACACCGACGATATCATGCAGGTCCTGGAGGAGAATGAGGCCCACGCTACGTTTTTTGTCATAGGATCCCAGGTTGAGGGTCGCAAGGATAAGCTCGTCAAATTGGTTGCAAAGGGGCATGAGCTGGGAAACCATGCTATGCATGATGAGCCCTCCAAGTCACTCAGTAACGAAAAGCTGCTGGAGGAAGTCCACCTCGTCAAGGACATGCTGACCGAGGCATACGCCGCCAACGGTCAGATCCTACCCAACAATTACTTCCGTCCAGGGTCTGGAATATTCAACAGGCGGATGCGGGATGTGTTGGGAAACAAGGGTTTTCGCATCACCTTGGGCAGTGTGTATCCCCACGACCCCCAAATACCGTACCCCGATACCAACGCGAAGCATATTCTGAGCATGGCTCACCCGGGAGCCATCATTATCTGCCACGACAGGAGATCGTGGACTGTGCCCATGTTGCGCACTGTTCTTCCCGAACTCAAACGGCAGGGGTATCGGATTGTTACCATCACAGACCTTGTGAAGGCGGTGTCGTCCCAAAACCAAGGGCAACAGCACCTTTGAACCCTTGTGGGCGTTTCTTTTACCTATGCATGCATTGGAGCGAGGATCATTAGAAAGTTAGGATATGATCCAGGGTATAGATTGGTATTTATCGGGAAACTTTAAAGTGTAATTTTTAATGACCCGTCTTCTTCTATGAGTTTTTGTATGTTGTATCTCGGCGATGTTAATCTGTGACAAGTCAGTTTTGTTGTTGACGGAGAGAGAAAGTCTTCGTACGTGAATCTAAGTGTGCCTGTGACGATGGAACGGCATCCACCAACGTATCTCTTCACGATGGGGTGTGTCTGTTCTTGAAACTCAGTCTTATGAAGCAACATATTCGCTGCATCGTCAAAGTTGTTGACTGCCATTTTCATCCTCTCTTCTAGCTTAGCAACTACAACATCCAAGCTCATGCCAGGCTCCATGATGGCTGCAACGGCATTGATGACACAATCAGTCCGCAACTCCTTCTTCAGCGACAGCATGTCATTCATCAAGCTCTGTAGAATGCTCACTTGCGTCCATAAATGAACGACCTCTGGAGCTGACGATAACGCTCCTGGAAGCCTCTCGTCCGTTGCATATGGTACAAGACTGCAGAGCATTCTTCCACCGACAGTGCCGATCCTCATCTTCATGTACGGCTCGTAGTCAGGTATGCGACTGGCCAGGCGGAGCCTCTGTTCAGCCGCGCAGCTGTTGATGAAGAATTGGATCTCATCATATAAGAGGCGCCGTTGATCCCTCGGCGCCGTCTGACAGAATCGCCCACCGAACTCTCGAAACACGCCGCTGATGGGATCGTCATCCGCCGCTTCACTCGTACTCATTTCGTCAACGGCCAATGCCTCACGCACCATGCGCATAGTCTGCTCCCTCCAACGCTCTGCCCGCATAAAGTCACCCGCCAGATCGCTCTCGTTAGCATCAACAGCATCATCCCAGCAAACGAGCCACGTCGTATAGAGAGTCAAAGCCTCGATCTGCCGCCTACGAGCTTGGGGATATAGTGAACAAGCCAGAGAAGCAATGTCATCTTTTTTTCGACGGGCGATCAACGGATATGCTGTAGCCATGCGCTCAACCGCTCGATTGACGATTGGCGTAACGTGCTCATGGTGGCGGTTGAGTTGACCTCGAGGATTGGGCCAGCCACAGAAGAAATTATGAAGATTGGAAATTTGTAGTGTTTGGCCGCGAAGGGCATCTACTATTGCGGCTTGGTTTAGACGTGAGGATTTCATGAGCAAGACATTGATCAATATCAGCAGCGAAATATTTCGGATTTGAAAGATCTATAAACCTCGGGCTGCCTAGAGAAGTGGTCTAGGTTAAGCCAAAATCATCAACTACCTACCTTAGGTATTTATTCGCTGAACCATCATGTACAGCCTCGACAATTAGCAATTCTGCCCCTACCATGGCAGCCGAAGCCACCAGCCTTGGTCGGGAATAAGATGGAATCTGGTAGTTTATTATTTATCTCTCACACCCTCAGCAAAGAAAGTTCAAAAGCCAGACGCGTCACATGGGAAAAACCCAGACGCCACAACGGGAGAAGCTGTCCAAAACTCAAAACCTCGACGAGCACACATAAAACAAAGAAAGAGAGAGAATAAAAAAGGGCAAAGACAGACAAGTCAATATCAAAGGCTACTTCAACTTATTGCCCAAAGTTGGATACCCTCAGGCAGTCTTTCATATTAAGCCCCTACTCTAATAATACCCAATTGTTGTTTGAGTTAGAGTAAGGCGTGTTTCCGATTCTGCAGCGGCCCTTGTACAATTGCCGGGGTTCAAGGGAGACAGTCCGACTACCTCACAGTCTAAAAGTCAAAAAAGCAACGAGCACCGCATGAAAATGCTCGTTCCTAATTGATGACAAGTTTCACAATGTCTCATTCTGCTGCACACGTATTTTATCCTGTTTTATTTTAACCTTCAGACTGTCCGTTGCAACGACTGAAGATCAGCAGTTTCAGCTTAACTCAAAATCAGTAGCATCAAGATCATCGCTCTAGAAACGGAAATCGGAGTGTGAAAAGGAAAAATTGCCGTTTATGGCGAGTGTGTAGGTAGGTAGCATGACCAGGTATCCATCTAGATACAACATCATGAAACAAATCATCCAGCAAAAGAAAACAGGCCATCCCATACATAGATCCATCCGTCCATTCATCCATCCATCCATCCATCCAGTCCTTATACCACCCTGGCCTTATCAAACGCCCCATTGAAACCTATGTCCGGTCAAACACTCTTGAGCATCTGAGCATCAGACACGGTCCTTTCATTCAAAGTAACTCAAACCAAACCAAAAGAGACGTGTTCAAAGAGAAAAAATATCCAACGAGTGAATAGATGCCGCTCCGTGGAGCAACCAATAACTATGTACCTTTTTAGTCATGTCTGCCATTGTCCAACTGAGGACCCCCTTCTCATGGTCGTAAAATGTCTATCAATTATGTACTGCCGAATTAAGAAACCGGTGTGTCGGTGAAGAGTGCGCCTTTGGATCAAATCCACTGCG